ATGGCAGAAACCTACGGGTGCCCCAATAGAAATTCTGCCAAAACTCTCAACCACGTATAAAACCAACCTACAGTTCCATAAGAACCTATAGTACTACCCCCTTCCCAATGGCCTTAGTTGCCGCGGGATAATTAAAAAAAAAAAAAAAACCGTACTATATGCCTAATATTAACCAAACTTATCTAATTACATATTTTAAACAAAATGTTTGTTCTAAAGTAAGTAAAACTTAAATTTAAATTTGTATTCATTTTTTCCAATAGCAGATACCTCTCAATAGTGAACAATTTTTATGGTCCCGCGAGTGCCCGCCATTTAGAGGTTTTATTACTGTATTTAGATTTTACAACATGGATGAGTTGTACGTTCCCGCAGATCCTCCTACGTATAATGCTATATTTATAAGGTGTGTTTTAATCCCCGCTACCGAAATTTACCTGGTATGTGACGAAATCAATTTTATTGTTATCTATTTAATTTTGAAGTTAGTTATGATAATTTTATATAATTTTCAAAATAATTGCCGTTTTAAAATATTCATAGTTTATAATATCAATAAAAGTCTCCACGATGCCCTTGATAAAAATGTTATTTTTAAATTTTTATAAAAGGTCAATTCATTCTAAATTAAAAAACAGTAGAGCAAAATTAATTAATGTGATCGTAAAATTTGCTATCTGGTACCTACTATGTTTTAGGAGGGATGCAACACATGCTGAGGTGGCGTTCATTACAGTATTCGGTCCATATTCTATACTTAAATATAGGCTATACTACTGTCTTTAGGTTCATACTTAAAAAGTATTAGTTAAAAGTTTAAAACATTGAATTAATAAATACTTACTGATATAAAAAGCGGGTAAGTGGGTGAYGATCTACTGTCCAATTACTAATGGATCACTGCAATGTGTGGTGTTAAATTTGAATTTGATGAAATCATATCACTGTGCACGAATAAAACGATTCTGAGTGGAGACGGTTTGTTAGCCTAGAATATTTTATATTATATTTATATTTTTATTATTATTAATGTTAATAATAATTTAGTTCTTAATTTTTACCTTTTGTATATGTTGTGTGCGTCCGTAGTCTTGTTGAAAAATAATTTCGAAATATCCGATTGCGTCTTAGGTCTACAGCAAAAACTTTTAAGAGATAAAACTATCGATAGACTATTAATTTGTTAATAAAATATTATTGTAGGTACCATTTTTTTATACTTATGTAATTTTTGATAACTATGGCGATGGTGGGAGATTCTAATTTATTCTTAACTTAGTATGACGCATGCATGTATTGTATACCATGTAGTATTATTTTAATTAGTTTATTATATGTATGTACTCAATAATTTACACTCCTCTTTTTTACCATAATTTATAATGGTAGTGCTATATAATAGTTGTCTATTCTCTTAATATTTAGAATTTTCTAACTTTTGCTGCTTAATTTGTCTGGTGTACCTACATGGGATATGACACCTGAATCAAAAGTTTTCTAGACTTATTGGAATTTATTTGAACTCATATACAATGAAACCTCTCTTACTGAACACCTTTATATAGCGGTCACTTCTGAATGACGAACATTAAGATAAATTTTGTTTTATTAGATTAGATAAGTTTATTTAACCTAATTATATTACGACTATTCTCAATAAAAAATCTTCTCATGAAAAATATTGATCGAGTATGCCGCCACTTTCGAAATTCAAATATCTCCAATATTGTGTGATTTAGATTGAATATTAGAGTGC